AATAAGGCTCCTGAGGCCTAGGTGGAGCTGGAAAACCACTGGCTGCTGGAAGAGCTGAATGAACGGGGCGACCCATATGACCCCTACCATGACAACCTGCAGCTGGGGCACGGGCACCAAAATAATGGCCTGACTCTCGAGACCTCTTGGCCTCCCTCTCCTCTCTATCCCTAGCATGCATACCCTCAATCCTCCTAGCAATGCTCACCACCTGCTGATAAGATATATCCATCTCCAACTCACGAGCCATGCTAGATCTGATGCTGGGAATAAGCCCCTCAATGAACCGGCGAACCTTCTCGCGAACCGTAGATACCAAAGCTGGTGCATGTCTAGCCAAGTCAATGTAACGGACAACATACTCCGAGATAGTCATAGTACCCTGGCGCAAATGCTCAAACTCCGCGCGCCAGGCGTCCCTAAGACTCTGGGGGACATACTCCCTCGTGAACATATCCGAAAACTGAGCCCAAGTCAGGGAAGCTGCCTCATCCGGACTGTCTAACTCATAAGCACGCCACCAGTCGTCGGNACCCCACTCGATCCTGATATGCCCATAGTGCGGAGAATACGGTAGCACTCCTCCAGAAATCCCAAGGCATCCTCTGATGCTAACCCACTGAATACAGGAGGATCATATTTCTTGAACATCTCAAGTCTCTGCTGCTCATCCTCTGAAGCCGCTGCCCTATCCTCGGGCTGAACTGGTACTGCAGGCGGCGCAGGTATAATCTCTGGGGCCTGCTCAACATGCACTCGTTGCTCAGGAGTGCGGGCGGCGGGAGTCTGTACTCCTCCCCCGGCCTGGGATGTGGCTGCAGCAAGGGGAAACAACCCTGCCTGAGCCAAAGTGGTGTACATGCTCATAAACTGTGCCAAAGTCTCCTGGAGCGCTAGAGTAGTAGTGCAGACGTATCAGGTGTCTGGACTCCGGCTGGTACTGCTGGTGGTACCTCGGCGACAGCTCGCGCGGGTGCTCTGGCTGCACCACGAGCGCGTCCTTGGCCTCTACCCCGGCCCCGGCCTTTGACGGCTCCAGTAGGGGGCGCGGGTGCCTGGTCGTCTCGAGTAGCACGTGTCCTCACCATCTGTGAGAGAGTAGAAAGACAGAAGTTTAGTTGTGATATCAAAAACCTCGCACGACAAGGAAATCAAACGAAGTGGAATTTTCCTAACAGTTACATAGCCTCTCGTAGATAAGTACAGACGTCTCCGTACCGATTAGGGAGACTCCAATAAACCGGCCTGTGTTCCGTGACTCCTATGAACCTAGAGCTCTGATACCAACTTGTCACGACCCCAGTTCGCCCTCCGTGAACTATCGTGACGGTACCTAGTCCCTATGACTAGGTAAGCCTAACAAGTGCGGAAAAACAATCGAAACCTTGCGGAAATTTTAACTTAAAGCCAAGATTTAACAAAAATGGAAATGAAATGTAAAATGCCACTTGACACATACAGCACAATATCTCAAACTTCTACAATACTATCCCAAAACCCGAAAACTCACGGGAACACAAGCTGAGAGAAATATAGAAAAAATGCTCTAACTCCGGAATGTCTACATCAACAGTATGAAAGAAGGGCTAATACTACAAGATAAAATAAAGATGGAGACTCTTCGGTCTGCGAACGCGGCAGATGTACCTCGAAGTATCCAAAAGCTCTCCCTGCCTCAAGGATGGTAAGCCTGTGCAGAAGTACCTGGATCTGCACATGAAAAACATGCGCAGAAAGGGCATAAGTACACCACAGCGGTACTCAGTAAGTGCCAAGCCTAACCTCGGTTGGGTAGTGACGAGGAAGGTCAGGACCCTACTGAGTTTAAACAAGATATAAGGTTTAACAATGTGAAATAACAATGTGATTAAATAACATAAGATATGAAGGACAACAGCAACTATTACAAGGCAAGTAGAATACATTAAAAGAACGCAACTCAGCTCCAAAATAACAACCGGGGATCTCCCAGGATACCGTCCTGTAGTCCTCAAATATAAATGTCATATCCAGTAGATCTCCCGGGTGCAGTCCCGTAGTCCAACTCATAAATGTACATGGGGATCTCCCGGAATGCAATTCCGTAGTCCCAAAGTAAACATACAGGGGAGCTCCCGGGATACCGTCTCGTAGTCCCAAAGTAAAAGTGCAGGGGGATCTCCCGGAATACCGCTGTAGTCCCAAAGTAAATACACATCAAAAACAAGAATTCAATCCAATCGATTTCATATCAAAGTGAAGCAGGTAATCCTAACCTAGCATGATTCACGTAATACAATTAAGGCAACTAAGGCAAATAGAGCAATTAGTCAAGTAGACATGTTTCTCTAAGCTACTGCAGGTTTAATGTCCAAACAGTATAAACAAGAAAAAGAATGACACAATTCAAGGCTATTTTAAAGAAAAACCGGATTTCCAACAATTAGCACAAGTACGCGCTGTCACCTCACGTACGAGGCATTTCAATTACCACAATATTAATCCTAAGGGGAAAGGTCCCCCACACAAGGTTAGACAAGCCACTTACCTCGAACCGGCTCAAAATCAACCCGAAACCACACCTTTGCCACGAGTATCCGACTCCAAATGGCCCAAATCTAATCAATTCAATTTCATAATGTAAATAACACTTCAAATAACTGATTCTATAATTAAATTCTAAGCTAAGACGCGAAATTAGGTAAAACGACCAAAACGCTCCTCAGGTCGACGTCTCGAAATCGGGTAAAATTTTTATTTTTAGAAACCTCGTACTCCCACGAGTCTATTCATAACAAGAACACTGAAATCGGAGTCCAAATGACCCCTCAAATCCTCAATTAAAGGTCTAAGAACTTTTCCCCCAATTTCTACCAAAATTTTGAAATTAAATGTTGAAATTAACTAAAGATCGATGGAATGTAACTAGAAAGGGGTAAAGAATCGTTACCCAGATATCTCCTCTTCAAACCTCTCTCAAAATCGCCGTCTCCCGAGCTCCAATTCGATTTTTTAACTTTTGAAACGAAACCCTCGAAATTTCATATTTCTGCCCAGCTATTTCCGCATCTGCGGACCAAAATGTCGCATATGCGACTTTCATTAAAGAGCCCAGGAGCCGCATCTGCGGTTCTTCTTTCGCAGATGCAAAACCGCATCTGCGGTGAAACTTCCGCATCTGCGGAACCTGAAGGAAACCCAAAAAACCGCATCTACGCTTGCCTTGCCGCATCTGCGGTCCCCAAACTGCAGATGCGAAAATATCAGAAGCAGCAAAAATCTGCAAATCTCTTAACTTCAAAATCCTTCCGCCAACCATCCGAAATCATCCCGAGGCCCCCGGGACCTCAACCAAAAGCACCAATCACACCTAATACCTCATTCAAACTTGTACCAATCGTTAAACCACCCTAAACAACATCGAAAACTCGAATTAATCAAGGATTTAAGCCTAAGAACTCCAATTTCCTCAAAAATATGCTTTTCGATCAGAAACCTAACCAAACCATCTCCGAATAACCTGAAATTTTGCACACACATCCCAAATGACATGAAGGCACTACTGCAAGTCTCGGAATTCCATTTCGACCCTAGGATCAAAATCTCACTATCGAACCGGAAACTTCCAAAATTCAACCTTCGGCATTTCAAGCCTAAATTAGCTACGGACCTCCAAAACACAATCCGACCACGCCCCTAAACCCAAAATCACCTAATGGAGCTAACGGATCCATCGGATTTCCATTCCGGGGCCGTCTTCACACTGTTCCGACTACAGTCAATTTTCCAACACTTAAGCTCTCATTTAGGGACTAAGTGTCCCAAATCTCTCCGAAACTCAAAAACCGAACATCCCGGCATATCAAAATAGAAGAAATAAGTTTGGGGGAAGCAGTTAATAGGGGATCGGGGCGTAAATTTCAAAAACGACCGGCCAGGTCGTTACAGAAATTATATAAACGGCTATAATATAACTATGAATCGCAACGATGTAATTATCGTAGGTCATATGACTACAATCATATTAGTCGGTGGACATATATGGTTGCTATTGGCCGATACGTGTGAACTTAATGAATGAAATTATATAAATGGCTATAATATAACTATGAATCCCAACGATGTAATTATCGTAAGTCATATGACTACAATCATATCAGTCGGTGGACTTATATGGTTGTCATTGGCCGATACGTATGAACTTAATGAATGAAATTAATATAAACGGCTATAATATAACTGTGAATCGCAACGGTGTAATTATCGTAGGTCATATGACTATAATCATATTAGTCATTGGACTTATTTGGTTGCCATTGGCCGATATGTATGAACTTAATGAATGAAATTAATATAAACGGCTATAATATAACTATGAATCGCAACGATGTAATTATCGTGGTCATATGACTACAATCATATTAGTCATTGGACTTATATGGTTGCCATTGGCCGATAGGTATGGACTTAATGAATGAAATTAATATAAACGGCTATAATATAACTGTGAATCGCAACGATATAATTATCATAGATCATATGACTACAATCATATTAGTCATTGAACTTATATGGTTGCTATTGCCCGATACGTGGGAACTTAATGAATGAAATTATATAAACGACTATAATATAACTATGAATCGCAACGATGTAATTATCGTAAGTCATATGACTACAATCATATTCGTAAAAATATTTTCCAAGTATTCTTCAATGTATTTTTTTTTATATCTTAAAAATATTGATAAAAATATTTTTGTATCTTTTTTTTTAGCTTTCTGTTCAAAGAATATGCATTATTCTTGAATATTCATAAAAATATTTTACAAACATTATTCTTCATGCCGTTTTAATTTCCATGTTTAATTCGTAAAAAACTAGAGTGTTTCTTACCTATTTTCTTGATTTTTTCTATTAATATTTGGCCGTGTATATATATATACACAAATTCACACACACAACTCTCAATACAAAAAACTAAACGACCCTCCCTCTTACCCAAACCCTAGAAACCAACCATGGACCCCTCTCCCAGCGCTTCCGAACAGTCCCCATCCGCCTCATATTCTAATGATAACGATGGAGAGCGAAATCCAACATTTGAAGTGCTTCTGAAAGATTCATACATCAAACAAGACTATATGATAAACACTATTTTATTTTTTGAAAAAATTGGCTAATCAACAATCTGCCTGTTGTTTTTATATGGCTAAGTTTACATTTCATTCAGTTTGTAAGTACTGTTATAAAATGAAGTTGTTTCTTTGTCGTTGTGTTATTTTGCCAGCATATTCCAAAATGCTTCTACGAGCACATTCCTGAAGCACATACCACCGCAGTTCTTCAATATGGTGGCAAAGAGTGGTTTATGAGAATTAACGTTGGTGAGCGTAGATGGCTCAAAGAAGGCTGGAAAAGTTTTGTGATGAAGAATGATATCAAGCGGGGCTGTTTGGTTAAATTTGAGTTAGTTGAAATTGCACAAATTCTTGTTGTCTTCAAAGTCGAAGTGAAAGGACAAGGAACTCACGAAGATCCTGTCGAGATTAATTAGTTTTTTTTTAAGAACTCGTGAAGTGTTTGAATTGTTTCCACTATTGAACTCTTTAATTTCATCTAGTTATCAATGTGTATTTTTATTTTCTGTTGATGTATTAATGTTATGAAATTCAATCTTCATATTGGTCTTATTTACTATAATTTTTTTTTAATTATCATTCAAAAAAACTGAATTGAGTCATATTGGTCTTCTTTGCTTTTCTCATTTCTTCTGGATGAAATCAATTTTAAAGACTATTTTTAATTTTTTTTAAAATCAATTCTTATGTAGGATTCTTTTGGAATGGAGAAGACAAAATAACACATTTATTTCATCTAACATAACACCATTTATGTCAACTAACACCATTTATTTCTACCAACACCATTAATTTGCCAAAATTGCCAAAATTGAACCAAAAAAAGCCGCTCAAATTTGAAATACTTTTTGGACTGGGTTGGCCCCCAATATATAGTCACATACTCAAACCCTAAACTATGAAAAACACACTCACCTACAAACCCTAAATTATGGATGCCTCTCCCTCTACCAAACGAGTCCTATCTTACTCTTCTACTAGCAGTGATAATGAAGAAGAGAGTCCTCCAACATTTGAAGTGGTTATGACTGATTGATACATCAACTACGGCGATCTGGTAAATTATTATGTCTTTTAAACTTTATTTCTTTGAATATTACAATAGCTTCTTGAGTTAATCCTAACTGACTTTTTTTACATAAAATACTTTTGTTTCTTATACCTTAACTCCAGAAAATATATATGCGTCAGTATTGTATATGTTGATTCAGTTTCATATTTTCCAAAACTTAATAGTAATATTTTTTTTAAAGTATATTCCAAGAAAAATCTACAAGCATCTCCCTCCAATAGTAGACATCGCGCTTCTTCACTATCATGGCAAAGAGTGGTATGTAGATATGAGCGTTGGTGATAGAAGAAGGTTCAAGGCAGGCTGGAAACTTTTTGTTTTAGAGAATATGTCAAGCGAGGTTTCATCGTCAAATTTACGTTGGTTGATGTTGCACCACTATATGTTGACTTCAATGTTGAATTGAAGGGAGAAGGAACTTCTGATAATAATCTGGTTGAAATTGATTAGGATTTGTATTGTGTTTTTCTATCCCTTTACTATATTTTATTTTCATGTATGTTGATGTGTTAATGTTATGAAATTACAATCGTCATATTGGTCTTCTTTACCATAATAATTTTCTTTTTTAATGGAATATTTAGTAAATGCTTTTTTTTTTGTTAATTCTGCCTTGTGGTGGCATTGTCCTTTATATCTACCCTTTTAATATACAAAAATATTGAAAGGGGAATAAAGAGCAAAAATACAGAAGAAAATAATAATAATAATAATAATAATAATAATAATAATAATAATAATAATAATAATAATAATAATAATAATAATAATAATAATATAAAATAATAGCAAATGCTTCATAGGGAAGTTAAATAGGTTAATGTATTGTAAGATCTAGTAAATGCTACATAGGGAAGTTAAATGGGTAGATTTTGTATTCAAAGAGGAACGGTTACACTGATTTTACAATGAACTCTTTGAGTACTTGGTTGAAGCTAGGGTTAGAAATTGGTTGCAGTTGAATGTTGAAATTTTCTGGGAAAAAAACGTGCAATGTAAGGGTTGAAGGTAGGGATACCAAGATAGGTATTGAAGGTAGGGTTTGAAGTTGAATGTTGAAAGTAGGGTTGAAGGGTAGGGTTTTAGTAACTGAATGTGAATATTTTAGTTCTTAGTTTGAACTGATTATAATGTTCTGAAGTCTTTCACTTCTGTACTAGTTGCAACTAATCACATTTGTTAGTCTAGTCCTCTAAACTAAAATAAAATAACAATAAAATGAAGAAATATTTAACAATGACAATTATAATACCACACTCTTAAATTATTATAAAACAAAGTCAAAAAATTCAAAAAAATCTATCTCAAATCAAATTAAATAAGATTCAAACTTAAATCATCTCAAACTAAACGGTCAAGTCTTCTATTTCCCAGTTTGCTTCATCGTTTAGATCAGGCAAGCTACTATGTGGTGGTACTGTTATATCATCTTGCTGTATAGAGTAAATAACACTAACCTCAATTCCTTCCGCTAGCCCAGTATTTCCACCACCTCTGCCACCACCTCTACCACGGCCTCTACCACCACCTCTACCACCACTTCTACCACCACCTCTGCCAACACCTCTAACAACACCTCTACCACCACCTCTACCCCTCCTACTACCTCTAACTCCACTTCCACCACCCGTTTGTGAACTTCTAAAGTATGAACCAATTCGCCCTCTATATATATTCAACCTTGGACGTCCACGAGAAGCTACGTATCTAGGATCTCTTATATTTCTTCCTTCACCCTCACCCTCACCCTCACCTTCACCCCCACCCTCACCCCAACCCTCACCCTCACACCATCATGTGTATCTTCCAATTCCCAATTTGGAACTATCATATGATCATCATCCCAGTTCAAAAGGTCATGCTCCAATCTGTTCAAATTATACTTAATATATCTCCTCATCACTTCAGTGTCCAAGGCAATATCACAAACCCGTTCAAAGTGCTTTAAGAGTTCCCTGTACATCATGTATTCAGAACTCATACGTGGGTAACCTCCTAAAAAGAAATGTTTCAAGTGCGGGCGAACAATATCTTTTCTCCACCTTTTCAGTATATACCTCTCATTAACGTTTTTAATCCTCTTATGAGACAACACCTTAAGTATATGGCAGCATAGAATACCTGTTGTTTCAAACCACTTGCAGCTGCAACTTAGATATTCGCTAATAGGTGTATATTCAACTGTGAATACAAATGGATCTCTTGTGTTAAAACTCCTGAACGAATAATCAGCGATAATGTACTTCTCCACTCCAGCTATTGCTTGATGGTCTTCAGGGGTGCTGATTTCACAATGGTACAGTTTCCTTAACTGTACTTGAAAAAATTCAAACACTTCACGAGTATAACATGTTTGAAATTTTTCCTCCCATGCAAATTCTGATAAACATTTTGGTTCAAAGCACCTTGACCTATATTCAGCTTCCAATTCTTTCTCGAACTTAGCTCTCATGGCTAACTCATATTGCTGAACAAATAGCTTTAAAGTGCTTTGGCGGGTGATGAATCCGTCAAAGAAAGCATGCATTCCTTCACTTCTTTGTGTGGACAACATCCCAGCCCAAAGGTGGTAATTTAGGTATACAGGAACCCATTTCTCCTTCTCCAGATAAAGCTTTCTAAGTTATATTTTTCAATATATTCAGTCCATCGTCTCTCAAACTCAGCAACATTAATGCTATCAAGGACTAAAGTCTTAAATTCTGCCTTTGCAATCTTAGCATCAACAACTCCGCTTAACTTCGTAGGCAACTTTGTGAATATGTGCCATATACAATATCTATGTACCGTATTTGGCATCAATGCATTGATGGCAGCCTTAATACTATCACATTGGCCAGTCATGATAGCTAATGGATGAACATTGTTTAGAGCCCCAAGCCATGTAGATAGCACCATTTTGTAACTTGTTATATCCTCATTATACATAAGAGTACATCCCAAAAGTATGGACTGCCTATGCTGATTGACACCAACAAATGAAGCAAATGGCATATTGTATCGATTCACAAGGTATGTGGTATCAAGGCATATTACATCATGGAACTCCTCATATGCAACCTTAGAGTGTGAATGAACCCATACGACATTACGAAGTTGTCACGACCCCAACCCCGGTCATGATGGAGCCCAACACACTGCTAGGCAAGCCCGACCAATTCAACAACCTTAACCCTTTTTATACAGTCCATGATTCAGTTAACACAAATAATTACTAAGTCATAATACTGAAACTCTGAGATATAGTTAAAACATGCGGAAAACCCAAGTAGAAATACTACTACACAGCCCGAAGAATCCGGTGTCACAAGTCTGAGCCTCTAATACACGGGTGTCAACCTACTACATAGTGCTCTAAAGAAATGCGAAAATAAAGCAAATAGGTTAGATGGGAAGATCAGGACTGCGGACGTCATGCAGCTACCTTGATGCTCCCAGATATGATGCTCGGCAGAGAAATCCTCACTCAGCCTCAGCGGGTGCACCTAGATCTGCACACAAGGTGCAGGGAGTAATGTGAGTACTTCCAACCCAGAGAGTAATAAACATAAATAAAGGCTGAGAATAAGAAATCCTGAATAGGCACAAAGTAATTCTATATATACAGCAACTTGAACCCAGTAGTATAAAATCAGTACACCAATGAAAACAATTATGAAAATACCACAACAGATAAATAAGTAAATGACAATGAAATATGCAATGCATCACATAGACCGGTACTCTCTAGTACCCGCTGCGGCGTGCAGCCCGCTCCATTTATTTATTGTCGACGGCGCTCACTGGGGGTGTGCAGACTCCGGGAGGGGCCTCTTACGGCCCAAGCGTAATAATAAGCCATCTCGTGGCATCAACTAGGCCCTCGGCCTCATATCAATATCAATATCATACCGCTGCGGCGTGCAGCCCGATCCCATACTCAGTCCAAAATCACATAAGCCTCTCGGGCACAATAATATAGAAATATTCAGCCCAAACTTTATTTAAAAATATTAATTAAGTTTCTAGTTTGAGAAAAGGTGGCTGAGTTTGCAAAACAGTATTGAACACTAGGACTGAGTTCAATGATATGTAAAAATGGTAAGAAACCGGTGATAATAATCCCTGAAGGATTCAATCAATTGGCACGAAGCCCAAACATAGCAATTAGCTCAATTAAAATGATAATAAGTGAATTTCAGTCAAATACGCAGTATATTCATCTACCGGAACGGACCAAGTCACAATTCCCAACGGTGCTCTACCCCACGCTCGCTACCCGGCGTGCAAGCCACCTCAATATAGCACTACGATGTGCAAATACGAGGTTTCAAACCCTCAGAACAGCATTTACATCTATTACTC